ATGTCGCCCTGCGCCCGCTGCATCTCTTCAATGAATGAATCGCCGTCGATTCGCTCACGGGCTTTTTCATGGGAGCGCTGCTGCCAGACCCCACCATTTTCAGCTGCCCGACCGAGGACCATGCCGATGCTTCGGGCGTTACCATGTTTCCGGTTCGGCGACTCGCGTGTTCATTTTGCGTGGTATCCACGTGGTGCTTGGTGTCGATGCTTCGGGCGTTACCATGTTTCCAGTTCGGCGACTCGCGTGTTCATTTTGCGTGGTATCCACGTGGTGCTTGGTGTCGCGACTGATGGTGCTCAGCAACGTGGCGTTCGACTTCCTCAACGTCCTCATCATTGGCATCGCGTGGCCGCTGGGCAGGCCTCGGTGCGCCGTGCGATCGATTGCTCTTCGGGAAGCCTCTGGCACTGCGCCACGGCGAGCCTGCAGGCCGCGGGTTGCCCCGAGGGCTGCCGCCCCGGTGGTTGCCGCGGCAGATGCGACAAATAGGCCGCGGGGGCCCCAGCGGCATCCCAAGATGGCCCAAGAGGGCCCCGACCCGGCCAGGGAGAGCCTCAGAGGAGCCCCAGGACTGCCCCACGAGAGCCCACGACAGCCCCAAGAAAGCCAGAATAAGGTCCATAAGGGCTCGCCGAGAAGTGAAGACGAAAGGTGCCACATGTGACGGCTATCCTCCGCTCCGCCTCCTCTCCCTCCTCATCGTCATCGTTATCAGATGCATCAGCATAAGCCAAACGAAGCCGTTCAGATGCCCCAAGAAGCGCTTCAGATCTAAGATAAGAAGCCCGTCAGAGACCCCAAGGAGCGCGACAGAGGATCCAAGAGGCTCGTCAGAGGCTCCAAGGAGCCCTTCAGAAGCGCTTTGTCGGCGTGGGGGGGGGCGGGGGCGGGTCTGGGCCTCTGCCTGCACCCCCCCCCACCGCCCGCCCCCCCCCTACCACCCCCCTGTACTGGACGATTGACAAACTCTGGAGCACTCCTGGACATACAAACCCCCACAAGGCCACACAAACACCCAACGCGTCACACAAACACCTTCTCTCCCCGACCTCCTGCTTCAGATGCACAGCGTCTCCTCGAAAACGGTTGAGGGATGGGATGGGGTGGACGAGAGAAAGAGGGGGAAGGTAGACAAGGAAGGGGAGGAGGAAGCCACCCTCATACTCATCATTATCGACATCACAAGAAGCATCGTCATCAGAATCATCAGCATCAGCATCATCATCACCACCATCATCATCACCATCAACATCATCATCAGCAGCAGCATTACCATCATCATCATCAGCAGCATCATCATCAGAATCATCATCATCATCAGCAGCATCGTCGGCAGCATCATCATCAGCATCATCGTCACCATCAGCATCGTCATCATCATCATCATCAGCATCATAACCAGCATCATCAGCATCATCGTCACAAACCACATATTCATCAACATCATCAACATCACCATCAGCAGCAGCAGCATCATCCGCAACAGCATCATCATCACCATCAGTAGCAGCATCGTCCTCGTCATCGTCATCGTCATCGTCGGCATCATCATCATCATCATCATCATCATCAGCAGCAGCACCAGCCTCAGCCTCAGCCTCAGCACCAGCATCAGCTTGATCATTACCATCATCATCATCAGCAGCAGCAGCAGCAGCATAATCAGTCTCAACATCAGCAGCATCGGCAGCATTATCAACATCATCATCACCATCATCATCAATATCCGCATCATCATCCTAATAACCAACCACATCGCCAGCATGATCAGCATCAAAATCATCAGCAGCATGATCATCATCGTCATCAGCATCATCCTCATCATCATCCTCATCCTCATCATCAGCATCACCAGTATCATCATCAGCAGCATCATCATCGTCATCGGCGTCGTCGCCATGGTACTCATCATCAGCAGCAGCAAGCATCAGGATCATCTCCATCAGCATCATCACCATCACCAGCATCATCATAGTCAGCATCATCATCGTTAACAACATCATCAGAATCAGTATCATCATCATCATCATCATCATCATCAGCAGCAGCAGCATCATCATCATCAGCATCGTCATCATCATCATCATCATCAGCATCATCATCATCATCATCGTCAGCAGCATCATATCATTAGCATCATCATCATTAGCATCATCAGACAACAGTAGTAGTAGCATGATTAAGTATCGTCTTGATCCTCATCCTCATGATCAGCAGCAGCATCATGAGCATCAGCATCACCATCACCACCATCTAACCATCATCAGCAGCAGCAGCATCAGCATCATCATCATCATCATCATCACCACCACCACCAGCAACATCACCAGATTCATCATAGTCCTCTTCATCAGCAGCATCATCAGCATTAGCAGCAGCATCGTCAGAATGACCCTCATCACCACAAGCATCATAACCTCCCCTGTCATCATCTCCCTCTTCCCAGACCCCCGACGTCATGATTGTGTTCCCCACGTAAACACATGGAAGTCTCGACCAGTTCCCCAGGACCTGTTTTCATCCTGAGTCGTTTCTAGACGGTCCCGAGGCACCGCGAGGGCCCCCAGAGGCAGAAAAAACAGCGAAAAGCCGCCCGTCGCGATGTTTTCACGACGGGCTTCTCATCCCGATACGCATTTTGGACGGTCCCGGGGCCCAGCGAGGGCCCCCAGATCGGCGGCGAGCGAGGGGGAGAAGAAGGGGCGGACCTTCTCAGAAGGCTCGCAAGTCCCGCGGCCTTCTGAGAAGTCCCACCAGCCCTCTGGGCGTAGGTGGTCTAGAGCAGATCCTCTTCCACCCCTCCCTCTTCCCCCTTGGGGAGGGGTTTACCCCTCCCCCTACCCCCTCCCCTGGACCTGGACGGGGGGGGCCGCGGGTAGTTAGAGCGTCCAAGATGGCCCAAGACGGCTCCAAGAGCGCCTCAGAGAACCCAAGATGAGCTCCAAGATGGCTCAAGATAGCGCAAGATCGCTCACGATGGCTCCTAAGATGGTTCCAAGAAGCCCAAAGACGGCCCCAAGATAACTCCAAGTGGCCAAACAGCTCCCCAAGGAGGCCCCGAAGAGGCCAAAATCGTCCCAAAACCTAAGGAAAATCAATGATTTTTGCTTTCTCGCCTTTTCGCTTCCGATGGCTATCCGAGGCCTGGAGATGGCTCCAAGATGGCCCAAGAGGGCCCCAAGAGAGCCCCAAAAGAGCCCCAAGACGGCCCCAAGAGCGCCCAAGAGCACTCCAAGAGCGTTCCAAGAGGGGTCCAAGAGGCGATTTTAGGGGCTTCCGAGGGGGGACGCTAATTAAACCCCCCCTCTTGTTTGATCGACTCCCTCCAAGATGGCCCCAAAAGCGCCCCGAAGGCTCCCCAGAGCGCCTCAAGAGGGTCCCAAGAGGCGCCCAAGATGCCCCAAGGCGCCCAAAAAGCCCTCCAAGAGGCCCTCAAAAGACCCCCAAGAAGCTCCTTCCCCTCCTCCTCCTCCTCCTCCGATTCTTCCTCCTTCTCCGTCCTCCTCCTCCTCCTCCTCCTCCTCCTCTTCCCCCTCCTCCTCCTCCTCCTCCTCCGACGACGACGACGACGACGACGACTCCTCTTCCATCCTCCCCCTCTCGGGGTCTGTGACAGCTTCCCCCGCCCTTTGTTATTCTGCATGCTCCCCGACTTCCCTGATCACCTCAACTCCCCTGAGCATCGTTTCTGGATGGGCTGGTGGGGATACGCGAAGCGTCAACAATTTCATAACGCCTTCCCCGAAGACACAGAAAACTTCCCAAAGGCCGGAGGGCTTCTGAGAAATCCCGCCGCCTTCTGAGAAGGCCTTCCCCTTCTCCCTTCCCCCCCTCGCTCGCCGCCGGCCGGAGGCCGAGAGGCGAAACGCAAGCCTCCCGCACTGAAAGGCTGGCCGCCCGCGGCTTCTTTGCTCCCCCCGACGCTCTCGGCCACGGAGCCGAGCTCCGAGAGCGCGGCGGTCAGCCGCTCCGCGGCCGCCGCCACCGCCGCTGGCGCGCCTGAGGGGCAACGGTACGGCCGAACCTGGGACAGACCTCCTCCTCCTTCTCCTCCTCCTCCTCCTCTTCCCTCTGGAGGGGGCTCGTGGCGCGACGCCTTCGGCGTCGCCTCCTGGCGCCCCGTGGATCGCTCAGCCTCGAACGATCGGCGGCGGTTTGATCGCCAAGCCGGCACAGTAGCCGATGCCAGGCCCCTGGCGGCGTTCCACCCTACATAGACGGAGGCACCTCCTTCCAGAGCACGGACGACACGGTCGGACCTGGGGGCAACGGTGCGGCCAGAGCGCGCAAAAGATCCGAGGATACCCCAGGAGGCACGAGAACATCCAGCAAACACGCAGAACACTAACACTAGGGCACCCTCCCCGAACCGACCTCCATCCTACGCCCTGGTCCGACCGTCCGACCGTAGGAGGGGGACCGTTGTGATCGTCGTCATCGTTGCTATGGCTATCGTTGCGATCGTTACTACCGCTGTCGTTGCTATCGCTGTAAATCGCTGTCGTGGCGCAGGGGGAGAAAAAAAACATCGACCTGGAATCCGCGATACCTTGCCGACAGATCGGCGACTGGCCCCCGATATCGAATCCGCCCCCTCCTGGGCGCATTGGGGCTATCGAACCCCTATCGGCGATCAATGGGCGACTGGGGGTCGACGCAACGCACCCTGCGCCCATACACCCACCCTATCGTTAGGTCGAGCATGTCCTCCTACAGGCGGAGCTTGGGCAAAACATTAGAAATACGCAAGGACTATCCAAAATAGTTAAAACACCAAATATAATACTAAGACTAATAATAATAATGATAATTATAAAATAATAATAATAATAATAATAATAATAATAATAATAATAATACTAATAATAAGAAGAAGAAGAAGAAGACTTATTATAAAAGGATAATCGTCCCATAATCACTTTTACACTATCTTTGAATACTCCGCCTGTAGAGACAGGCCCGACTTAGCCCCATCGTCCCCCCCCCCAAGTGGGCGCCCTGCTGCTCCGCCACGTCGGCGAGCGCGGCTGCGGCGGCCGCGCGCACGCGCTCGGCAGCCCAGCGCGCGGCCCAGAGGCGGTCCGCGTCCTCGGCGGCGGCGCCCGCCGACAGCTCGCCGAGCGCCGCCGAGGCCGCGGCCGCGAGGAGGGAGAGCCACCCGGCCCTGCCGAGCCTGAGCAGACGGCAGAAGATCTGCCCCCACAGTGATCAGCCCGACGCGCGAAGCCGTTCAGCAGACGCACCCACGAAAGGGATCGAACAGGGCAAGGCTGTTTAATAAAAAACGCCCAGGGCCGTCGAGTAAACGCCAGTTGTCGGGTCCGGGTGGTTTTTCCTCCCTTGACTGAAGGAGGCCAGTCGAGACAAGCCCCGAGGTCCAGTCCAGGCGACTTCTGGGGAAGTTGTCGAGACTTCCAACGGTCGGCGGTTGTGAAGGAATCGTGGCGTCGGGGGCCTGGGGGAGCAGCAGGACCGGGTGCTCCTAGACGTGTTCATGGCCCAACCCTGATATATGTGGGCGCTGCATCTTGTTCACAACGGGCGCTTTCGCCCAGTTGCCAGCCCCAGGACCACCAGGGATCGATCTGGCTCGAAGGATGGCGCCAAAACTGGGTAGTCGAAGCCAATCTGGCGCCAATCTGGCAGGCCCAATCTGGCAAACGGGGGCAATCTGGCGAGGGAGCCGACGCGAATCCAGTCTGGCGAATAACCCAAATCATCCAGTTTGGCCAGGCCAGATTGGCCCTTGGGGCCCAATCCAATCTGACAGTCTGGCCTTCGACTACCCAGTCAGGGATCAATCTGGCTCGAAGGATGGCGCCAAAAGGTGGGGTCCAAGGCTCCGGCCGTGCTGTTTCGGCGACGCCGCAACCCGCTGGCTTCACCGGAGCTCAGGACCAGTCGAGACTGCGGCGACCCTCCCTGGCGCCGCTCTTCCCTCCGGGGCCTTATCAGAGAAACTATGGATTCAGTTTATGACGGGTTTCGGTTTTCTGCTATGCCTGGCGGCCCATAGGGGCCAGACGGATCGCGAGGAGGCGGAGGAGGAGGAGGAGGAGGAGGAGGAGGAGGAGGAGGGACCATCTGTGGTTGTGGCTCCTCGCGTTTCTCCGGCCTGCCTCTCTCCCCTCCCCCCTACCGAAACCCCGACACAAACTGAATACATAGTTTCTCTGATCTTCCCTCGAGGCTCCTCGTCGCCACGGCCGGATCCGCCTCTGGAAGCGAGTCAGGAGGGACCCCGGGAGGGGTCCAAAGTGAAGGGGCCCTGAGACACACAAATAAAAGGATCCCAAACTGTTTCCCATATCTTCTGGGTTTCTGTCTTCCCCCCACTTCCCATATTTCTCCATATTTTCTGGGCAATCGAAGATTAAGTGTGTCGTTGTGTTTCTTTTCCTCCTGACCAAAAGGAAGGACGTGGGGCTCCTGTGCGCCGCGCAGGGAGAGCCCGCGCCTCCGAGCCGGCCGGCCCTCCCGAGCGCGTGGGAGGGCCAAGGGTTAAGTCGGGCCTGTCCCCCCAGGGGATTTTCTACGAAAAATATGAAATACCCCTAGAATGATCAAAAAATAGTCCAAAGATAGTCAGGGGACTATATTTTGAGTATTTGTTGACCTTTTTGGTGCATTTTGGGGGTATTTTTTATTTGTCGTCGAAAGTCCCCCTGTAGGGGGACACGCCCGACATAAGCTAAGGGGTGCGGCACGACGGTTCGGGAAGCGCTCGGGGGTCCACGAGGGGCTTCTGCCACGCTGAAGCGCCCATGCCCCACCACCATGCCCAGCCATAGGGGGCCACATGCGAACCCTACCCTTACCCCCCACGATTTCTGAGGGGGAGGGTGGGGTTCACTTCGTTCGGGAGCTCCCGAGCGAAGTGAACCCCACCCTCCCCCTCAGAAATCCACCCTCCCCCTCAGAAATCGTGGGAGGTAGGGGTAGGGTTCGCATGTGGCCCCCTCAGCAAGGGCCATCCTGGACCCTGACATGGCGCACATGGAGTTGCTTCAGTTGTCCATGTGATATGTTGACAAGCAGCAGATACACAGACCACCAACAGACCGCTCTCCTGTCCGAGGCCAGCAGGGCACACGCACACTCTAAGACCAAGCATGGCCCTGGCCAGGCATGGTGGTGGTGTACAGGTCCCCTCTGCGGAACGTACACAGACCTCGCTTCTAGTGTGCTCATTTCCAGTGTGCTCACTTCTACTTGTTGTGTTTCTCTTTGCCGCAACAGTCGGGACACACCCACCCGTGCACCTCTTCGCGGGGCAGCTCGAGCGCCACCGCCCCCCCCCCCCCCCCCCCCGCACATGCCGTACGTTCCCATCAACAATACACTGAGGAGCAACATGTCCTTCACTGTTCCCATGAAACAAGCCGTGCACGCACTTCCTCCTCCCCTCCTCCTCCTCCTCCTCCTCATCTCATCATCATCATCATCATCATCATCATCATCATCATCATCATCATCATCATCAGCATCATCACATCATCATCCTCTCCTCTCCTCCTGCCTCCTCCTCCTCCTCCTCCTCCTCCTCCTCCTCCTCCTCCTCCTCCTCCTCCTCCTCCTCCTCCTCCACCTCCTCCTCCTCCTCCTCCTCCTCCTCCTCCTCCTCCTCCTCCTCCTCCTCCTCCTCCTCCTCCTCCTCCTCCTCCTCCTCCTCCTCCTCCTCCTCCTCCTCCTCCTCCTCCTCCTCCTCCTCCTCCTCCTCCTCCTCCTCCTCCTCCCCTCCTCCTCCTCTCCTCCTCCTCCTCCTCCTCCTCCTGCTCCTCTCTCCTCCTCCTCCTCCTCCTCCTCCTCCTCCTCCTCCTCCTCCTCCTGCCCTCTCCTCTCCTCCTCCTCCTCCTCCTCCTCCTCCTCCTCCTCCCTCCTCCTCCTCCTCCTCCTCCTCCTCCTCCTCCACCTCCTCCTCCTCCTCTCATCCTCTCCGTGGCCCTCCTTAGATTACCTATTCCTCCTCCTCCTCCTCGCCCTCCTCGCCCTCCTCCGCCTCCTCCATCCTCCTCCATCCTCCTCCCTCCTCCTCTTCCGCCCCCTTTTTCCTCCGGGCGCACGGAGCGGTGCCAATCGCGGAGCCGGCACGTGCGGAAGGTAATTATGCCCTGCACATATGCCGCACACGTGACGGGCACCGTGCCAGCAGTGCATTTTGCACAGCTCTCCAGGCGCCTGGAGGGAGGGAGGAGGAGGAGGAGGAGGAGGAGGAGGAGGAGGAGGAGGAGGGAGGAGGAGAAGGAGGAGGAGGGAGGAGGATAAGGAGGATAAGGATAAGGAGGAGGAGGAGGAGGAGGATAAGGAGGAGGAGGGAAGACGAGGGAGAGGGCTCCTGGACCCGAAGCTGGACGACGCAACGCCCACCGTCGCAGGTCGGGATCTGCATCCGTGCGGGAGGTGGGCCTTCACGAGCAGGGGGCAGGCACCGTGTGCGTCAGACGGGTCGGCCACCGGCTCCTGGAGCCTGCAGTTGGCACGGAGTGCACGGTCGGCGGTGGCGCTCACACCTGATAGCTGGGTAGTCGAAGCCAATCTGGCGCCAATCTGGCAGGCCCAATCTGGCAAACGGGGGCAATCTGGCGAGGGAGCCAACGCGAATCCAGTCTGGCGAATAACCCAAATCATCCAGTTTGGCTGGGCCAGATTGGCCCTTGGGGCCCAATCCAATCTGACAGTCTGGCCTTCGACTACGGATTCGTGCCTAGAGACTTCCAGGAGATCGGCTACGCAGAGCTGTCTGTGGTGGTAAGCGTGCTTCGAGAGCAAGGGCTCGGGGCCATCACCATCGTCAGCGCCTACACAGGCATGGTCGACGGCTTCCTGCGAGGCGAGAGTTACTGAGCGTCGCCACACAGCAGGTACGCTGATCTATGGCGCGGGTTCTGGCTCCATGCGGATAATGCCGGCGCCGACATGGTCTCCTTGGCATGGATCGCGGTCCTCACGTCGTCTCGAGTTGCAGGGCTGTTGAGGGCAAGTTGGTGCCATCACATTGGGAACAAGGAGGCGGACAGACTGGCTAAACTCGAAGCGTTGCTTCACCCGCAAAATAAACTCTTTCAATGTGAGGACAGGCTTGCTGCGGCCCACGAAGCGGCCGAATCGCTCCTGCTACATCATGGCATTGTGCTGAAAAAAAATCGCGGGCCTGGATCGGCCCGGCAGAGATGCTCTTCCTGGCCGTCGCGGGGCCCCTCAGGGAATTCAGCTGGAGCTCGGGAGGTCTCACCAGGAGCACGGTCTGGAGCGCCTCGGGCGAGCCTGGGGATGGCTCAAGTGCAGGATCCGAGAGGCCACCAGGGCCCATGTGGTCGCCCTGCAGTGCGTCGGGGTCCCGAGGCTCGCTTCCCTGACTCACGACTGCCATCTGCTATGGGTCGGTCGGCGTGGTCGGAGGCTTGGGAGGGGTCGTCAACGTCGGGGGGCTGCCAGGCCGATGAGAGTAGACGCTGGTTTCTGCAATCGGTGTGGCGGTTATGACCGAAGGCAGGTCCTGCTTCTGTATCAAGAGCGCAGGCCAGCGAATCGTCACGCTCGGAATGCCCTCGACAAGTTGCGAGCAGGGAAAGAGCCCCAATACAATGCTTCCTGGTGGGTCCCGTTTCCACATGTTCGGCGTCGGCGTCGGCGGCTAAACCAAACCTTAACTGCGAAGACCCCCTTTCTCACTGAGTTCGGTCTCTCTTTAATCCTGTCTCGGGGTGTTCCTGCGGAGTCGTGGGTGTGGAACTGTTTCGTAGGGCACACTGTTTAAAGGACATAGAAAGCGAGGGGCGATGAGGAGTGGGATAGTGCTGAGGAGGCGGAGGATGGTGAAGCAGGAGGGCGACGACGACGGCGAAGGAGGAGAAGGAAGGAGGAGGAGGAGGAGGAGGAGAAGGAGGAGGAAGAGGACGCGGAGTTGGAGAAGGGAGGAGGATGAGAGCAGGAGAGGGGAAGAGAAAGTGCAGAATGACGACATGAAGCCCGTGTCTCAACCAATGCCTGCACATCCACGCATATCAACAGAGAACCGAGACCCAAACGGGAACTCGTGAAAAACGTCAGCTCGCATGCGCCCCCGCACGTGCCTGCACAGATTCACGCGTCGATAAGCTACTGCGCGCCCGTGGGGAACAGGACCGCGCACGCAGGGTACATGCCAAGCACATGCACACACACACACACACACACACATGCCGAACCAAAGATGCCCACAATACCATCATCCCGGAAATGGCGGAACGAAAAGGTACCGATACCGCTACTCCATGGACCTCTCACAGGAGGTGCTCTGATCAGAATTTCGAGGCGAGTCCCGCCGTGACCACGAGGGCCTCCAAGGAGCCTCCCCCGCCCCCCCAAAAAAATCAAGAACAAACAAAAACACATCGTAGCAGTGTCGGGCGAAAAAAACTGAGGAGCAGAACGCCAGGAGTGGGCCCCGTGAACAAGAAGAGGAAGAAGAAGCCTCGGAGGCTTGCTCTTCCCCCTCCCCCTGCCCCTCCCCCTCCTCCTCCCCTCACCCTCCAACTCCTCCTCCTTCTCCTCCTCCTCCTCCTCCTCCTCCGCCTTCTCCTCCTCCTCCTCCTCCTCCTCCTCCTCCTCCTCCTCATCATCATCATCCTCATCCCCATCCTCCTCATCCCCCTCCTCCTCCTCCAATTCTTTTCCTTACATATAACCTGTCCCTGTCGCACCCCAAGGCAAGTTTTTAGGGCGGGACGAGAGTTCGCCTGGCACATCGTCAGCATGTATGACTCTGAAGCTTAAAACATGGCAACAGTTCCACAGGTGGAGGACAGGTGGTTTTCAACATGTGGCTCTCGCCTTAGCGTCGAGCACATTCGTTTGAAACATTTGCAAGAGCTTCACGGATTCAGGGCGGGTCGTTTTCAAAATGTGGCTCTCGCATTAGCGCCGCGTACATTCGCTTTGAAATGTGCAAGGGCTTCACGGATTGAGGGCGGGTGCCTTTCAAAGTGTGGCTCTCGCCTGAGCGCCGCGCACATTCGATTTAAAACTTCGCAAGGGTTTCGCTGAGTGAGGGCGGGTCGTTTTCAAAATGTGGCTATCGCATTAACGCCGCGAACATTCGTTGTAAAGGTTTGCAAGAGCTTCACGGATTGAGGGCGGGTCGTTTTCAAAATGAGGCTCTCGCCTTAGCACCGCGCACATTCGATTTAATTACCCCAGTGCGACCCTATCTAGAAGTTGGAGCCCCTAGGAAAGCAGCAGTGGTTGCTATGCTATGCTATATCATGATATGCTGCGCTATGTTATGCTATTATATGCTATGTTATGTCATGCTGCGCTATGCTATGCTATGCTATGATATTGTGTGTTATGCTATGATATGTCATGTTGCGCTGTGCTATGCTAAGCTATGATATGCTATGCTGTGCTATGACAAGCTGCGATATGCTATGCTATGCTATGCTATGCTACGCTATGCTATGCTGTGCTCTGCTATGCTAAAGCTCAGCGAAGCTAAGATGAAGGTAAGCTAAGCTAAGATAAACCTGAGCTAAGATAAAGCTAAGCTAAGATGTAATAAGCTAAGTTAAGATAAAAATAAGCAACGCTAAGCTAAAGGAACGTCAATGGAGGAACCGCGGGGCGTATGCCGGGGGAACCACCAGGGGCGAGCAACACTGCCCGGCCCTTTAAGTTTAACGAGTAAGAACCCTTCTAGGCAGAGCCTAGGTAGTGAAAAAAATGCAAGAGTTTTACGGAGTGATGGCGGTTCCTTTTCAAAATGTGGCTCTCGCCTTAGCGCCGCGCACTTTCGTTTCAACAAGTTGCAAGAGTTTCACGGACTCCCATGATCAACGTATCAGAAACGGCGTTTTGGAAGGATTCTGGATTATGCGAGTGCAGCAGTTATGCTTATTCGCAATGTTGAAGTCACAAAATGGCGTTCTGACACGATTTGGTATGCTTCAAGGTCTTCAAACGGTTGTCTTCCAACGAGGCAGCTTCCCCAATGGAACTGAACCGTTGTATGGGGCCTATGAAGAGGGAGTTTGGAGGGAGGGTTAATTCCAACATCGTTGGTGACTCTTGAGTCTACACTGGTCCTCCTCCTCCTCCTCCTCCTCCTCCTCCTCCTCCACCTCCTTCTCCTCCTCCTCCTGCGCGGACTTCCTGGGTGCCCCTCCCCCCGCTCAGATGAGACCACGTCGAGAACGGCGCCCAGAGGCCGAGCGCGCCGGGAAGGCTGGCGGCGCGCACAGGGGATAGGGGGAGGAGGAGGAGGAGGAGGAGGAGGAGGAGGAGGAGGAGGAGGGCGGAGGAGGAGGGGGCGCAGGAGGAGGAGGAGGAGGAGGAAGAGGAGGGGGGATGGCTTCTTAGAAGCAGGTCTGCTTCTGAGAAGTCTTCCCCCACCGTCCTTCAAAGACTAAGCCAGGACGGAGACAAAATCGGGTAAAAATAAATCGAGAATCTCTGAGATCCGGCTGCTCTCGAGGATGTCTCGGGCGCCGCGGCCCTCTCAGAGCGTTCCAGAACGCTCTGAGAGCGTTCTGGAACGCTCTGGAACGGATCTATCTCGTTCTAGCCCCGTCCGATCTCAGAAGCATGTGTGCTTCTGAGAAGCCTTCCCCCTTCTGCGCGGCGTGGCCGAGAAGGGGGGGAAGGTCCCATCGCCTGCCCGAGACATCCGCGCGGGCCTCCGAAAGTGTGCGACTGTTCAAACATGGGGGAAACGGGTCCCGAGGGAAACGGGTCCTGTCCAGGGGCCCGTGGAGGGCGCCGAGAGCCCGAAAACGGCGAAAAGCTTCAGAACCCGTTTCCCTAGGGACCCGTTTCCCCCATGTTTGAACAGTCGCACACCCTCGGGGCCCGTTTCCCTCGGGACCCGTTTCCCTCAGGACCCGTTTCCCTCGGGACCAGTTTCCCTCGGGACCCGTCTCCCTCGGGACACTGGGGCCCTCTCCCAGGACGAGTTTTTCGTCCCGAGTCGTCTTCTGACAGTCCAGGGGCCCGCGGAGGGCGCCGAGAGCCCGAAAACGGCGAAAAGCCTCGGGACCCGTTTCCCTCGGGACCCGTTTCCCCCCATCGCGAACCGTGCTGTTCCCAGACCCCCTCGCGTCGTGAAGAAAACACGACGGGAGGTCTTGGCAATGTTCGACTTCTGGTGAGGCCCCTCTCGGGCACAGGGACCGTCAAGAACGACTCGGGGTGAAAAGCGGGCCCCCAGCAGGGCTCTGGCTAAACTGTCTTTCTCAGTTTCGTTTGGTGTTCGTCTTCCCTCGTTCTGTCTTCGCTCCGCCTCTGCTGCAAAACGGATTGAAAAAGAAAACGGTCCACGAGATCGCCAAAACACCGTTTAGCTCGAGCCGTAGTCCCCAGGAAGGGATGCAGTCATCTGGGGGGTCCACGTCGTGAAGAAGTCACGACGCCATGAGTCTGGGTTTCCTGTGCACTCGGGAGCCCGCAGTTTGCGCGCATGAGGACCTCACACTGCTCCTCGAACTCCTGGAGACCCTTTTGATTACTCGCGATAACGCCCGTGACCGGCCCCGCCACATCTCCCCTCCCCCCATCGTCACGTCGCGACTCCCGCTGGTGTCGTGTGGAGATCTACCATTCTTGAACATTCCCAGACATCGCCGGCGCGAATCGTGATGTGATCAGCCTGCTGCTACCCCGTGTCACGCCCGTTATCGCAAAAGGATAATCAAGACGGTCTCCTGCGCGCTGTCGAAGGTCTCGCGCACGTCGCCGATCGCGCTCCGGACGGCGCGCAGCTCGGACTGCAGGAAACCCCACACCTGCAGGGCATTGCTGCCGTTCAGCCAGTTGTGGTTGATCGAGACAGCATCGTCGAGGTTCTCGACCTGAGCGGCGAAAAGAAACGAGTCTCACGCGAGAAGACATAGCGACCTTACGCGATGGCTTACGCGGGCTGCTAGCGCGGCACGCTAAATTGGAGACGAGGGCGTTTTCGCGCGACCTTACGCGGGCAGCTCACGCGCCAACGTCGGCACAGTAGACCCCATTTTCTTCCGTCGCTCACCTGGTGGTACCACCCGCTGGGCACGAACACCAGCTCGCCGGGCTCCTCCAGGAAGCAAACAAAATCGCCAGATGAACGCCAGATTCCAAATCACTTGTCTTGAACGCGAGGAGGGCCGCCCGGGCGCTGAGCTGCCAAAACAGTCGCGGAACTGCCTCTGCCGCCTCGGGGCCACGATCAATCGGGTCAGGCCCCGGGCCCTCTCGAACATCACCCGAAGGGACTCGGACGAACCGAGCGCTGACCAGACCCTTGTATCGGAGCAGAGCCCGCGCTGGCTCTGTCCTTCCTCCTCCTCCTCCATCTCTTCCTCCTCCTCCTCCTCCTCTTCCTCCTCCTCCTCCTCCTCCTCCGCCTCCTCCTCCGCCTCCTCCTCCTTGCATGAATTCAACAGCATTCTATGTTGTGCCGATGCGCCGACAAGGCGCGGCTCTTGCGTGCGAGGCCGAGCCGAGACAGCGGCAGCCCCAGCTCGGTCCCTGCACCCCTCCCGGGGCCCAAGCGCACCTGCTTTCCGAGGTGCGTCCAGCCTTGACCACGAGGGGCCTCCCCCGAAGGCCAGCTACAGCTGTCTCCTGCTCCTCCTCCTCCTTTTCCTGCTCCTCCTGCTCCTCCTTCTGCTCCTCCTCCTCTCGTCCTCCTCCTCATCCTCCTCCTCCTCCTCCTCCTCCTCCTCCTCCTCCTCCTCTTCCTCCTCTCCTCCTCCTCCTCCTCCTCCTCCTCCTCCTCCTCCTCCTCCTCCTCCTCCTTCTCCTCCTCCTCCTCCTCCTCCTCCTCCTCCTCCTCCTCCTCTCTCCTCCGCCTCCGCCTCCGCCTCCGCCTCCCCTCCGCCTCCGCCTCCCGCCTCCGCCTCCTCCGCCTCCTCCGCCTCCTCCGCCTCCTCCGCTCCTCCTCCTCCTCCGCCTCCTCCGCCTCCTCCTCCTCCTCCTCCTCCTCCCTCCTCCTCCTCCTCCTTCCTCCTCCTCCTCCTCCTCCTCTCCTCTCCTCCTCCTCCTCCTCCTCCTCCTCCTCCTCCTCCTCTTCTCCTCCTCCTCCTCCTCTTCCTCCTCCTCCTCCTCCTCCTCCTCCTCCTCCGCCTCCTCCTCCGCCTCCGCCCGCCTCCGCCTCCGCCTCTCCCGCCTCCTCCTCCGCCTCCTCCGCCTCCGCTCTCCGCCTCCTCCTCCTCCTCCTCCTCCTCCTCCTCCTCCTCCTCCTCCTCCTCCTCCTCCGCCTCCGCCTCCGCCTCCGCCTCCGCCTCCGCCTCCGCCTCCGCCTTCAAAGTAAGGATCTGGAAGTTGGGTATGTTGAAGCCTGTCGAGTCTGCTCCCAACCTGGCCATCTCGAGTCGGGCCAATACTAAATCGATGCGTTCGCCCCTCTCGACCCTGAAGTCGATGAGGGCTGTCCCCGAGGTGAACTGTTGCTCGTCCTCAAGGTTTTCGAATTTGGTACATAATAAGGCACATGATGTATGTGACTCCGTCGGTGCGTCCCCCCTGTAGTATGAAGCCATGGTTGACGATGGTGGACGGCACCCTCATGGCTAGTGTCCAAGCTAACTAATCCCCTTAGACCGCGCTGTGAAGCATCGGACTGTTGGGGTGGAGTCACGCTTCCGCTCGCGACGTAAAGCCATGCGTGTACTTCGCGGAAGGGTACGTTGCCTGCGCGACCCCAGAAAGAACCCCGAGTATGCGTTTCATCCAGTCCTCCTGCCCGCACGCATGCCACGGCAAGACCCAGGCACACCCACGTGGTTCCAAAGATAGCGACCGCTACATAGTGCATGGTCACGTTGTAGCTGATGATGTCGGGTTACATGTCCTTGGATGTTGTCGCGTCAGTAGGATTGCGATTGCGTGTCTGGTCTGACGTGACCGTCAGCTTGCGGACGGGCATCGGCACTTGGGATGTGCGTGGCGCGCGGCCACACGGCGGGGAGATGGATGTGCAGGACTGTAGGTTACCAATTGCATGAAGGGACCGCACCGAACCGAGAACCGAGAACCGTGACCGAACCGGACCGAACCAGTTCAAAACCAGGAACGTAGAAAACCGAACCGGACCGAACCGAATTCATTCAGAACCGAACCGGCGAGAACCGAACCGAACCAGAACCGGAACCGAACCGGAACCGGGCGGCCCCTGAACCGACACCGACGGGAACCGAACCGAACCCCTTTCCCCTCCGGTCCGGACCCCAAGACCCCGATGACCCCCAGGACTCCGGGACCCCGATGACGCCAGAACCTCCCGAATCGACCCCGATGACCCCCAGGACCCCAAGACCCCCCTGGACCCCCGGGACCCCAGGACCCCAGGACCCGAGGGGGGTCGCAGCCCCGAGGGGGGTCGCAGGCCCGAGGGGGGTCGCACCCGCGAGGGGGGTCGCAGCCGCGAAGGGGGTCGCACCCGCGAGGGGGGTCGCACCCGCGAGGGGGGTCGCACCCGCGAGGGGGGTCGCACCCGCGAGGGGGGTCGCAGCCCCGAGGGGGGTTGCAGCCGCGAGGGGGGTCGCACCCGCGAGGGGGGTCGCAGCCCGCGAGGAGGGTCGCACCCGCGAGGGGGGTCGCACCCGCGAGGGGGGTCGCACCCGCGAGGGGGGTCGCAGCCGCGAGGGGGGTCGCACCCGCGAGGGGGGTCGCACCCGCGAGGGGGGCCGCACCCGCGAGGGGGGTCGCAGCCCCGACGGGGGTCGCACCCGGGAGGGGGGTCGCATCCGCGAGGGGGGTCGCACCCGCGAGGGGGGTCGCACCCGCGAAGGGGGTCGCAACCCCGAGGGGGGTCGCACCCGCGAGGGGGGTCGCACCCGCGAGGAGGGTCGCACCCGCGAGGAGGGTCGCACCCGGGAGAGGGGGTCGCAGCCCCGAGGGGGGTCGCACCCGCGAGGGGGGTCGCACCCGCGAGGGGGGTCGCACCCGCGAGGGGGGTCGCACCCGCGAGGGGGGTCGCACCCGGGAGGGAGGTCGCAGCCCCGAGGGGGGTCGTAGCTCCGAGGGGTGTCGCACCCGCGAGGGGGGTCGCAGCTCCGAGGGGGGTCGCACCCGCGAGGGGGGTCGCACCCGCGAGGGGGGTCGCACCCGCGAGGGGGGTCGCAGCCCCGAGGGGGGTCGCACCCGCGATGGGGGTCGCACCCGCGAGGGGGTCGCACCCGCGAGGGGGGTCGCACCCGCGGAGGGGGGGTCGCAGCCCCGAGGAGGTCGCACCCGCGAGGGGGGTCGCACCCGCTATGGGGGGGCGCACCCGCGAGGGGGGTCGCACCCGCGCAGGGGGGTCGCACCCGCGAGGGGGAGTCGCACCCGCGAGGGGGGCTCGCACCCGCGTAGGGGGTCGCACCCGCGCACCCCGCGAGGGGGGTCGCAGCCCCGAGGGGCGTTCGCACCCCGATGGGGGGTGCACCCGCGAGGGGGGTCGGCACCTGCGAAGGGGGTCTATTTGTTTTTTGTTTTGGTGCACCCGCGAGGGGGGTCAAGCCCCGAAGGGGGTCGCACCCGCGAGGGGGTCGCAGCCCCGAGGGGGGGTCGCACCCGCGAGGGGGGTCGCACCCGCGAGGGGGGTCGCAGCCCCGAGGGGGGTCGCACCCGCGAGGGGGGTCGCACCCGCGCGGGGGGTCGCACCCGCGAGGGAGGTCGCACCCGCGAGGGGGGTCGCACCCGCGAGGGGGGTCGCACCCGCGAGGGGGGTCGCACCCGCGAGGGGGGTCGCAGCCCCGAGGGGGGTCGCACCCGCGAGGGGGGTCGCAGCCCCGAGGGGGGTCGCACCCTCGAGGGGGGTCGCACCCGCGAGGGGGGTCGAAGCTCCGAGGGGATCGCACCCGCGCCAAGGGGGGTCGCACCCCGCGAGGGGGTTCGCACCCGCGAAGGGGGTCGCACCGCTGAGGGGGGTCGTCGTCGTCTGCCCATCCTGTACGCCCTGACCTGCACTCCGAGAGACCTCATCGAGGGGGGTCCCCCCCCAGACCCGACGATCCAGGGCCTCCCGACGACAACGACGAGACGACCGACGACGACGACGACGACGACGACGACGACGACGACGACGACACGACGACGACGACGGACGAGGGCCGCGGCGGCGGCGGCGCCGAGCAGCAGAGGCCACCGAGCCAGGCACGTCGACTGGAGGGCCTCGCGCCTCCACTCCTCCACGTTTCCTCCTTCCTCCTCCTCCTCTACTCTCTCGTCGTCCTACCTCTCCGCCTCCGGCCTCCTCCTCCTTCTCCTCCTCGTCGTCCTCCTCCTCCCTCCTCCGCCTCCTCCTCCTCGTCCTCCTCCTCGTCCTCCTCCTCCTCCTCCTCCTCCTCCTCCTCCTCCTCCCCCATCCTCCCTCCCTTTTTTTCAAACTGGGTCGTCGCTTACGCAGACGGGGCGCCCAACGTCGCACCTGACCAGTCGGGCCGAACCGAACCGGAGCGGCCACTCGAACCGAACCGAACCGGTCGGACCCAACCGCGCGAAAACCGGAACCGAACCGAACCGGCGGCAGGCCCAAACCGAACCGGCCGAAACCGGACCGATGCCAAACCGAACCGGCCAAGCAAAACCGACCCGGCTGCAGAACCGGACCGAACCGAACCAAGCCGATCCTTTCATGCAATTGGTTCAAGAACATTGGGAGTGTAGCGGTTGAGAGCCAGCGCAGTCGGGCACTCCACTGTGCCGTGGTGAGTTTTAATGCACTTCACACCTAATGTACGAGCCAGCCACCTGAAGATGTAGCCAGCTCCGCTACCAAGGGACATGTAAGGGTACAGGGCTTGCCCATGAGGTAAAAGGCTGAGAACCTTACTCTTAGGATAACGTCGGCGACGTACCAAAGTATCCCACATATCATCCCTTGATAGCAAGCAAGACGACAGGTAAAAGAGAGGCCATGGAATAGAGGGGCGGATCATAGATAGACGTGGCCTTTGTCTGATGCTGTGATCCCAATCGAGTCACACGCGGACGTGCAACTAGCAAATAGGACAGCGCTGTCTCGAGCCGAGACAGCGTCGGATGTAGCATTCGCTATACAGCCTCTCCTTAAATCTTTTTGAAAGTTTTGGAAAGATTTCGGCATTCTCGCCTTGTCAGCTTCCCGACGCTCCAAGGCGCCCCCAAAACCGGCCCAAGATGGCCCAAGAGGCCTCCCAGAGGCCTCCAAGACAGCCGAAGAGACCCCCAAGACAGCTCCAAGAGGGAGCCCAGACGAGGGACCCGAACGGTCATTTCGAGCCCTCGGCCGGACAAGCTCCCAGGAGGCCCCCCCCCAAAAAGCTCCCCAAGAGGCCCCAAGAGGCCCCCAAGAGACCCCCAGGAAGCCCCAAGAGGCCCCCACGAGGCTCCCACGCGGCCCCCAAGAGCCTCCCAAAAGGCCCCCAAACTACCACCAAGAGGCACCCGAAAGCGCTCGTCGTCGTCGTCGTCGCCGTCGTCGCCATTCAGGGTCGGCGGCACTGGCCGTGAGGCCTTCGCAATCTTGTAGCGCATCGTTTCCCGAGAGGTATCGCCAGAAAGCGCCCGCCACGATGCTTGAACTGTAAGATTTCCGAGCGTGCGCGTCGACCCTGCGTGGCCGACGCACCTATTAGTAGGAATATGTCTCGGGTGGCGCCGATGGGGGAACCAAGAGGTACCAATGTACCGCTACTCCCCTGACCTCTCCCAGGGTGCGTTCCGACCAGAATTCCGAGGCGGATCCAACGGTGGCGACGAGGGCCTCCCAGGAGGCCGAAAAAGGGGAAGAGAAAGCAGAAGAAGAAGAAGAAGAAGAAGAAAAAGAAGAAGGAGGGCAGTGGCATGGGTACCTTCGAGCCGAGGCCCCGATCCTGCACGAACTCGACCCTGCGCTCCCACGCCTCCGGCAGCCCGGGAAAGCGGGCCTCCCAGCCGGCGGGCCGCCCGCCGGGTTCGGCGCAGACCAGGGCCCCGTAAGCGGGGACTCGTGGGCGCACCCAAGATGGCTTCAGCAAGGGGCCGCCAAACGTAGGGGATCCAATTACTGACCCAGGTCACTGCAGGGGCCCACAAACACACAAGTAAGTAGACACAACTATCCCAGGATTCAAGAGATTTTCCAATATTTTCTGTGGTTTCGTCTTCCCCCCCACACTGTCCATATTTTCCCATATTCTGCTGGGAACCGACGATGACTTGTGTCTGTGTGTTTTTCCCCTCCTGAGTCACAGTAAACCCGAGCCAATCAGGCCTTGCAAGATCCTGCAAGATCCTGCAGGATGGTGCAAGATCCTGCACGCCAGCCCAGGTCAGTGCAGCCCTGGCTCTACTTACAAGATCTGGCGCTCTGGCTGACCCCCGTTTGAAGTGCCCCCCGCCCCAAGGCTCCCGAAAATTCCCCGTCACCGCAGTTCTGGGCGTTGCAGCTTTTTCGCGTCGGGCGTTTTTTGTCCAGACTTGGGCCCCGAGACTCTCACGGACCGACCTGGCTCGACAAATACGAGACCTGTGTTGCATCACAGCAGCAATTCGGCCCCTGGCTTTCGTCCTGGGTTCGGTTTAGTGAAGTGATGCATTTCAGGGTCCTTACGTGGGAAAAAACATTACTTCACTAATCTGGGGCCCCTGGGGCCTCAGTGGGCCCTGGGGCCCAAAATTAGTGAAGTGATGGTTTTCGGGCCTCGGAACAAAGGACGCAGAAAGACTCAAGGCTTAGGGGGCCCGGAGCTGGGGGCCGCCTCTCGCTGCCGGTCGAGCAGCAGGTGCGTCGCCTCCGGGGGGAAGAAGACCCAGCGCTTCCGGCCGCAGACGCTGGCGGACCAGGAGGGACCGGAGGAGGGCCAGCCGAGCCAACGGGGGCCTTCCCTTGCGTTGCAGTCGGGGTTGATTGGAGAGGACACGCGAGAGGACTCAAGACCCTTCCGAGGGCCACGTTGCCATAGGAATGTCTGAAGGCATGGGTTGCGAAGCTCAGGACACAAGGGTGCCCTCGATTTGGCAGGGTCGTCCTGCCAATCAGTCTCGACTGTATTTTCGGGCTGGGTCTGGATGCTTCGGGCCAATGCGTCTGGCGCGCACCCGTACCCCCTGCATCACTGCTACAGCGCGGCCGATCGTGGAAAGTCCGAGGCCCGATGATCCCAGACCCCGACGTCCAACGTCGACGTCCTGGGGCCTGGATGCTCCAGGGTCTGGATGCTTCTCGTCGCCACGGCCGGACCCGCCTCGAAAAACGGGTCGGGAAGGACCCCGGGAGACGACCCCGGGGACCTGTTTCGAGCGGGTTTGGGCCAGGCGGGCTGTGAAGGGGCCCAGGGACACACAAATAAATGAGACATGCACACAAGTCCCAGGATTCCCCATATGTTCCTGTACTTTCTAATCTGGTCTTCCCCCACGCTCCCCATATTTTCCTATATTTTCCCGGGAATCGTCTATTCATTGCGTGTGTGTGTTGGTTTTTGTTCCACCTCCTGAGGGAGGGCCGCCGTGGTCTCTCCTGACCCTCCTCCGAGAGTAGGACAGGAGCACGTCGTGGTGCAGCGGCGTCCACGTGCCCGCGACGCCCACGTAGCAGAAGCGGTAGTCGTCCTCCAGGTGCAGGTTCAGCCAGTCGTGCAGCGGGGCGGTCAGGTACCTGGAGCTCCTCCTCCTCCTCATCATCATCATCAGCATCAGCATCAGCATCATCATCATCATCATAACCACCACCACCACCACCACCACCACCACCATCATCATCATCATCATCATCATCATCATCATCATCATCATCAGCATCAGCATCAGCATCAGCATCATCGTCAGCATCATCAACAGCATCAGCATCATCAACAGCATCAGCATCAGTACCAGCATCAGCATCAGCATCAGCATCATCAGCATCAGCATCAGCATCAGCATCAGCATCAGCATCAGCATCATCAGCATCATCAGCATCACCAGCACCAGCAGCAGCAGCATCATCCGCGCCTCCCCGGTGTGGCCCGAGCAGATGGGGTCAGAGGAGATCGCGCAGCAGCGCCGATGCATCGCCGATGCGTCGGCGAGGCGTCGGCGACATCGGCGATGCATCGGCGACATCGGCGTGGAGAAAACTGCGCTCCACATCGCCCTGCATCGCCGATGCACCGGCGATGCGGCGCGATCTCCTCTGACCCCCTCCGCTCGGACCCCATCTGGGGAGGCCTAGAGGCCCAGAGCACCTCGGCGCGGAGTAGGGCGGGCGCACCCCGGCGGCGCGGCAGGCACGGGCCATGTGCCAGTCCTTGAGGTACAGCAGCCGGCCCCCGTCCGCGCCCGCGCCGCCCGCGCCGCGCTGCGCCGCCCAGTCGAAGAAGTCCCCCGCGTCGCGCTCCGCCGCCGGCCGCGGGGGCTCCGCGGGGCCACCGGCCGGGCCGCAGTCCACGACGGGCACCGTCACGCCGCGGAACTCCTGCAGGTGGCAACATCCGAACCCTACCCCCACCAACCAACCATCGACTCTCCTGGACCGATGGGAGGCGAGGGTAAGGTTCGGATTTTTTGCCACGCGTTCAACGGATTCCGAACCCTTCCCCCGCCGCCGCATAGCACGGGGGAAGCGGGTCCTGAGGAAAGGCGTCCTGGATCAGGGTGCCTTCCCCCAGGACGAGCTTGTCCTCCTGAGCCCTTCTCTGACGGTCCTGGGGCTCGTGCAGGGCCCCGAGGGCCCGAAAACGGCGGAAAGCCTCAGGACCCGTTCCCCTCGGGACCCGCTCCCCCCATGGCGAGCCGATCGCGTTGCCCGAAGCCTTGGTCGGCGAAGGGCAGGGCTCGGACCTCGCCGCCGCTCCTGGGCGAGGCGGCCGTAGTCCGGCGAGCCGTCCGGGCGCCGCCACTCCTCCCAGGCCCGCCACCCCTCCACCACGCCGCACAGGAGCACCGGCCTGCCGGCCGCCGCCACGCGCTCCACGAAGGCCCGCTCGCCGAGCTCGGCGCCGGAGAGGCGCTCCACCTGCGCGCGGCACATCGCGGGGGCGGGGGAGGGGCCTGCTGGCCACCCCGCCCCCTCGAGCCGAGGACGGCTCCTGCCCGCTGACGCCTGGCGCAGCCGCGGGGGCGCACAGTCAGGACCCCGTGTTCGCCCTCCCACAAGCCGCCCCTGTCATCACCGAACCTCCCCTTCCACTATGTGAGCGGAGAAGAAGAAAGCAAAGAAGAGGCACTGGGAACACAAGACAACTCCCCTCTCCACCATCCTCTACTCCTTCCTCCTCCTCCACAAACATCATCATCAGCATCATAATCGGCATCAGCATCAGTATCATCATCAGCAGCAGCAGCATCGTCATCATCATCATCATCATCATCATCATCATCATCATCATCATCATCATCATCATCATCATCATCATCATAATCATAATCATCAGCACAATCAGCATCATCATCATCAGCAGCATCATCATGAGAAGCATCCTCATCATCATCAGTATCAGCATCAGCATCAGCATCATCATCAGCAGCAGCAGCATCATCATCATATCAGCCAGCGTTGACTCTAAATAGATTAGACCAGTCAAATCAAGGAATCACAGGAATCAAGCATGCTTGGAATCCGCAACTGAGCAAGCAAGCAAGCGTGCAAGCAAGCGCGCAAGCAAGCAAGCAAGCAGGCATAGGCATAGGCGTAGGCGTAGGAGTTGGGGGGGAGAGGCATAGGCATAGGCATAGCCATAGGAATTAGGGGGGGGCATAGGAATTAAGGGGGTAGGGAAGCAACGGACCAATTAGGACGGTTTGAGCTAGGGCTCCTGTAGGCAAAGCCTATTTGGATAACCATCATACTTATCATCAGCATGCTTAGAGTTAGTATTGTTATCATCATCATCATCATCATCATCATCATCATCATCATCATCATCAGCATCATCATGATCATCATGATCATCATCATTATCATCATCAGCATCAGCATCATCAGCATCAGCATCGTCATCCTCATCAGCGGCAGCAACATCATCATGGTCACCGTCATCATCATCGTCAACAATATCATCATCAGTATCCCCATCATCAGCAACATCAGCAGCACCGTCATAATCGTCATCATCATCAGCATCACCATCATCGGCATCAGCATCATCAGCATCAGCATCGTCCTCATCCTCGTCCTCATCCTCATGCTCTTCATCATCATCGTCATCGGTCACCAGCACCATCACCATCAGCAGCATCATCATCGTGAGCATCGTCGTCATCGTCATCAACAGCATCATCGGCATCAGCATCAGCATAACAAGTATCAACATCAGCATCATCATCATCAGTGACATCTGCATCATAATCATCACCACCAACATCATCATAATCGTCATCAGCAGCCGCAGCAACAGCAACGGCATCCGCATCTGCATCATCATCATAATGGCATCATGAGCAGCAGCATCATCATCATCATCAGCATCATCCTCCTCCTTCTCCCCATTCTCATCATCACCACCATCATCATCAGCATAATCATCATCAGCATCATCAGCACCATCCTTCTCATCATCATCATCATCATCAGCATCACCATCATCAGCATCGGCATCATCAGCATCAGCATCCGCATCATCAGCATCAGCATCCGCATCAGCATCAGCAATATCATCCTCATCGTCATCATCAGCAGCATCATCATCAGCATCATCAGCATCACCGTCAGCAACAATATCATCAACATCAACGTCATCATCGTCCCTCCCCATTTCCTTCTGTCCGTCCGTCCTCCTTCCTTCTTCCGCATATATCATCCCCACTCTTCCTCCCTACCTCCTTCTTAGCTCGTCCTCCTCCTCCACCACCTTCCTACTTTCTCCTCCTGAGAGTCCGCCCAGGCGGGCGGGGATCGATGATAAGGATGCTTTAATACCCTTGATCCTAAAAGGGCGCCCTGTGTACGCGTGCGCTGCTGTAAAAAATGAAGATAAGCACAGATACTACACACACACGCCTGCGAAATCCCTGTATCTCTGACACCCCTCCGTGACCATCGAGGCTTGTCCTCGCCGGGCACAATCTTGGAAGACGGGGAAATCGGAGACCAAAAAGTGGCGGACCTTTGTCCGGACCCCAAAAACAGTGCGGGGGCTAAGCTTCATTAGACAGATGAGAAAACAAATGATATAATGAAATCCACTGCCCTTCAAGAGGGAAAATCTCCAAAAATCGGCAGAGCGGTGCCTAAACAGGCGTGCAAATATGGAACTATAAAACCACAGGGCATAAACGATATGGGTGCAAACCAAACGGTACGAGGGAGAGGAGGCAGAGGAGGAGAAGGAGGGAAACGAAAATCGGAGGACTACCCCTCCGCATCGCCAGGCCGGGCTTTGCGGGCTCGGCGCGCCTCGCCTGCCGCTGCCTTAGCAGCGAGCATCTCCTTCGTCTGCGCTAAACACCAGCGGCCCTCAGACAGCCGCTCTAGCAAGAAACTCCTCTCAGCATCGGCCTTCGTCAAAGAGTCCGCGATCATCAGCTTCGTGTCGATCCACCTGACACGTATCCTCCAGTCATCTCCCTCTCGCTCCTGCTTCAGCACGTCATGGCCGAGTAGCTGGCGGATCTGGGCCATCAGGATCCGCACTCGCTTGTCAGCGGGCTGACCACCGTCCTTCTCCAAAGAGGTGACGAGGCCGTTCGCGTCCGTCAGCAGCAGCAGATGCTTGCCGTCGAAGCACGGGTCGAACTGGTAGGATGAGTAGCCGGGGTCGGAGATCTCGGCGACCACGTGCTTGAGGAACTCCGCACTCTCGGCCGTCGTCAAGAAACCGTTGTATTCAGCTGCTAGCGATCCACGAACCACTCGCTTGATCGTCGCGCTAGCCCATTCCAGTGGATGTATGATCGCGGTGGCGTCCGTCTCGAGGTCGGGCGACGCCATGCCGATGATATAGCCGCACTGGGATTTGACCTTCTCTCCTAGCGTAAGGTCGTCAATGTTGCCATGGCTGCTGTCCCCGCAGCCGAACACGATGGCACTGTCCCAGTCCAGGCGGGATGAAAACATCAGCTTGAAACCAACGTCGTCCTTAGCCATCTTGATGGCACGATTCACTGCAACAATGTCACGAATCTTGGGGCCACTCATGGCCTGAGCCCCAAGTGAAGCGTGGACGGCCAGGTCGGGGCGCGTCTGCCGTGCTACCCAGCCAAGCGACCCAACGCCGCTACGGAGGGCAGAGATCTCCTCCGGGGTGAGTGGCGCATTGGGCTTGCGCCGGCGGTGCGGCTCGAGGGTGATGTACTCCAGCGCCTCGACCGTGGCGGCCTGTCCGATCTTGATGTCGAAAGTCTGGTTGTCCTGCTCCACGACCTTGCCACGGTACCTGAACGTGTCGGACTGGAAGGAAAAGCGAATCTTGTCCTTGATGATCTCCATCACGCGCTCGAACTGCTCGCCCGCGCCCGCGACGAAGAGGTCGTCGACGTGCGTGCACAGCAAGCCGTTGAGCTTGCCCTTGCTGTCCCTGAGCATGAACAGACAGGGCTCGTAGATGGACTCGCGCCAACCCTGCCCCACGAGGATGGCGCGCAGATGCAGCCACCACTGCCTGCCCGCGTCCTCGGTGCCGTAGATTGCGCCGCGGGCGCGCATGTAGGACCCCTCCGGAACTCCAGGTGGTGGAGGACGAGGGGCTCGAAGAAGCAGGATGCGCTCAATGCCCTTGGACTGCAGGTAGGCCGTCGCAGCGTCAGCTGCCCTTATCTGCCACCGGTGGGAGGCAGCGTAGCTGGCGACCAGGTGGAAAGCCAAAAGGCTAGCAGTAGGAGCGTCGCCTCGGATATCATCTCCTCGTTCCTGCACTAAACGAAGAAAACAAAAAAAAAAAAAAAAATAAAAAAAAAATTATTCCTGGCAAATATAAAAAAAAAAGAATGAAAAAAAAAAAAAAAAAAAAAAAATTCAAAAAAGCAAAAACAAAAATTTTAACATACTAAGAATACACAGAATACGCACAGTAATACTACTAAAAAACGAATCCCCCTGCACGACGAGCCGACTCTTGGCAGCGAGCGGGATGTCGTCGTAGGTCTGCTTGAGGTTGCGCTTCTTAGCGTTCTTGTCCGTGTGGACCCAGCGCGTCCCAACTGGGGAGGCACCCCTGTCGAGGAGCTCCTTGGCCTGGCTAAAGCTCAGCACCTCGACGGCCTGGAACTCAGTCCAGCTGCGCCACTCCCTGGCCATAGCCTGATCGAACTCCTTCCTCTGCTCTGGGGCGAGGTCTTGAAGTCTGATCTCGGAGCGGACCGCGCCCTTGGTGAGATAGGCGAACTCGACTGTGTCGTTCGTGCCCACGTCCTCGTCGGCGTGAACGAAGATGGTCTCGACCGCGGTGGTGCCACCAGGCAGAGGCCGACGAAGGCGAGCATCGCGAAGAGCAAGACCTCTGACGTCGATGTCATCGATCACGATGCCTGTCTTGATGTCTCTGGTGATGCGGCGAAGCACCTTGGACCAGCGAGGGCCACGCTTGTCCGTAGTGATGAACTTCTTGATGCCGTAGTCGGTGCGACGCCACTCGTAGGCGACAGCCAGGTCCGGCTTGTAGTCGCTGGTGAGGAACACTTCGTGGAGGGCATCCTCCATGACGCTGAACTCCTCCTCCACGTAGCCCTGGAAGGTGCGAGGCTTCTTGATGGAACCCCGATCCAGACGCTCCGGATCGCGCATGGCTCTGTCCAGCTGGGTAAGTGACAGGCCTCCGCGCTTCTCCCCGCGCTCCAGGCCCACGCCCATCTCGTCGTCCGGCACCGGCTTGTCGACAGCCTCGTCATCCGGGGGCACCGGCTTGTCGATGGCCTCCTGGGATACTCGAGGATCGTTCCGATGACCTTGAACTTCGGAATGAATGCTGGGCTCGCCTGGGCCGTACGAGCGTGGCGGCCCCTCTGCCTCTGGTAGCCCCGGGCGTGGTGGCTCAGGAACCACAGGAGGTGGCTGATGCTGTGCTGGCGGTGGTAGTAGTGCGTCGTCGGTCTCCTGAATGATTGGAGATGCTTGTTGTGGTACTTCGTGTGCCGGCGGTGGAAGATCGACCCGCTGCTGTGGTAGATGGTCCTCGGTGTTGAACTCGTCGAAATCGAAATTTACGTCAGGTCCTGGTCCGGCAGATCCGAGCACGCCCCCAACCACCCCTCCGTGACCAGCCGCGTGCTGTTGCGGCCTGGGCATCGGGGCGGGCGAGGCTGCTGCTGCATCGACCCGGATGTCGATGTAGTGCCTGGCCCCCTTCAGTGACCGAAGGGACAACAGGTCTGGGTTCACGTAGGTGTGCATGGCGAGCAGCTCGTCCTCGGAGGCGAACCTGAGCGACTCAGGAGCTGCGAGCACGGTGGTGTGTCCGTAGCGCAGCCACACTGCATGGGCCAGTGTGCCGACGGGCTCGTCCGCGTCGCGAGAGAGGTGGCGTGGGTCGCGCACCTCATGCCCGATAACCCGGGCCGGCCCAAACCAGCGGCGCGTGACCTCGGGGCTCTCGCCGACTCGGGTCTGCGACCGGCGGAAGTACACGATGGCCCCAATGTTGAAAGGGCCTCGGCTAGGCCGCGCCTTGCGCAGGATGGCGCGCTTGACGCGGTCGTCGGAGTCGAGGCGGACGCGTGCGATGCGGGCCGCCTCGCGCAGGGCCATGGCGCGGGCCATGGCAGACTGGGGGTCGAGCGACGCCTCGATGACCTCCAACCGCTGCGCCTCGTCGTCTTGTAGGAGGCTTCCTGGGACACGGGGCCCATGAGACCCCAAGACCCACTGCGAAGGGGAGAACCCCCCGCGTCGGCCCAGCTCGTTCTTGACCTGGGTCACGATGGAGGCAGTCTCCTCGACGACGCCCAGTCCTGTGACCTGCGAGTCGGCGACAGTACGTCGCCAAATCTCCTTCCAAATGCCCCCGTGGCGCTCGCACTTGCCGATGAGGTGCGGCGTCTCCAACGGGGCCAGGTCGACCTGCACGCCATGCGCCTTCGCGTTGGAGGCGAAATTATTCATCCACTCCTTGCCCAGGTCCACCGTGGGCTTCTCTGGGTAGCCAGCCCACGGGGTCCAGCTGGTAGTGAACGCCTTGGTAGTGGCACGTGCTGTCGGTGATCCACGAACCGGGCCCATGCAGCACACGACTTGAAAGTTCGCCCCCTCGCAGATACAGTTCATGAAGAAGTAGGGGGTCCCGGCGGCGTCGTAGGCGTGGAAGGTGCCCAGCTGGATGGCGTAGATGAACACGCACTGACCTGGCAACCGCGAAGGTCGTGGGGCGCGCCGACGGACGGCGTCGCCACAGGCGTCGCAGGAAAAGAAATCCACGTACTTCAGCACCTCCGGTTTGACTCCTCGGCGCCTCAGCAGCCTGGTCAGCGTCACGTTCGAACAGTGGTGGAAGTTGACGTGGAGCTGGCGGATGGCCTTCCTGACCTCTGGCGGGGCCTCCAGCCATCGCCTGCGCCGCTCGGCCTCCTTGGCATTGGTGATGGGGCCGAACTGAGCGGCCTCTCGGGCTCGCTCGCCGTCGGGATCGACGGCTGGCGGAGGTGGTGGCTCTCCCACAGCTTCCTGATCAGCTAGAGGAGGAGCAGGCTCAGGCACGTTCGGGTCAGGCGGCGGCGCTGGCTGCGCCATGGCTGCCCGGCACGGGTGCCCCCGCAGTCTGGTCCGTCGTCGTAGTCGAACTGGCCCACGAAGGTCTGGACCGTCCTCTGCAGGGAACTGCCAGTCGGTGTCCGTGGCGTTGTCGACGATGGCCTGCTGTACGATGCTGCGGGCGACGATGTGGTTGAGCTCCTCCGGCCACTCGGCCGCTTGCAGGGTGCGCGGCCCGAACTTGTTGCGGCCCTTCAGCTGCTCGCGATGGGTGCAGCTACACTTCTTGTCGGGAAGGGCCTCGACCAGCGTGTCCATAGTGGTAATGATCATCATGGGCTTGCGGTGAGCCAAGCCTGACTCAGCATCGCGGTACCCAACCTGGCAGCCGTCGAAGGTAACCTTCCTCAGGATGCCCTTGTCCAGGAGAGAACGAATCCTTGACATCTCCGGCTGGTCGAAGGCCTCGGAGCCCTGGGGGTGCTCCAGCGCCACGTGGAAGCCCCTCCGCACTCGGCTGTCCACTGAGGAGTCCACCTGCCTGAGAATGGGGCGGTTCGCCTCGCGCTTGGCCAAGATCTTCCTCTCGGTCTCCGGGCAACGGGCCATGTTGAATCTGCTCCAGTTGCCCCACGGCGAGCAGGGGTGCGAGACCACGAGGCAGTACGGCTCCTCGTTGGTGATCTCCGCGTCGCACCTCTGCCTGCCCAGCCTGGTGGTAGCGCCCCAGCCCGTGTGCTTGTCCAGTGGGACGCCGACCGAGAGGCCCATCGCGCCCATGAGCACTGTCAAACCCATCTGGCCAGCGTAGGTCTGCTTGACCCATGTCCTGGCACCTGCAGGCAGCCGGGCCCTGGGCGGATGCTTCTCCACGACGGCCTGCACCACCTCATCCTGCACGGCAATGGCCTGCAGGGAATGCTCGAGCTTCTTGGACTTCTTGTTGGTGAGGTTGCGCTTGCCGCCCCACTCGATCGCCTCGGCGGCGAAGACGTCCGGTCCGTAGTCGTGGTCGACGACCGTCTGGAGGCACTCGTCGTCCGTAGTCTCGCCGATCTCGATGTCCAGGAAGCTGGGGAGAGGCTCAACTGAGCTCTCCTCGACGTAGGTGATGCCGACGTGGAACTTCTCGGGGAAGTACTCGAGGTGGTGATCCTCGGGCATCGTCAGCGCCGCCCAATCGGCCGTCTCGTAGCTCTCGTTCGGCAGGTCAAGGAGGTTGACCGCCGGGTGGCCCACCTTAGTGTGGTGGAGCTTCAGGTTGTAGACGCCGATGTTGACAAAGTCGGCGACATCGCCCTCCGTGGAAAGCCGCATGCTGAGCCCAAGCTTGGTGAGCATGTCCCTGCTGAGCAGCATCGGGCAGTCGCCCGGCACCTCACACGACAGAATCTCGCCACACTTTCCTCCAATGCCCACGGGAAAACGGACCGCCGCGGTGCTCCTCGCGCGGCCGCCGATCCCTCTGAATGCACGGGAGGTCGGGGTCTTCACTACTACCTGTAGACCGCGCCTCGCGAGCTTACGCTCGAAGGCTGCCCGCCACGACTCACCGTGCATGGTACGCGTGCACCCAGTGTCGATGATGGCGAGCATGGCGTCGGCGTCGTTGTCGTGCGCCGAGAAGGCATTGCCGGTAGTGGCGGCCATGACCGAGCACTCGTAGGTAGAGATGACGTCCGGCTGGTGGATGTTGGGCTGAATCGGTATGGTGAAGCCGCCGGCGTTGACCTCCATCCAATCGTTGTCGGCGGGGAGCCTCCTCTTGTCGCCGTCGATCATCTGCTGCGGGGCAACGTTGAACTTGCCACGCGCGATCTTCACAATGGCGTAGAGGAAATACGCCTAGCGGTACAAGTGGAGGTTGATCCCCTCCGCCTCGGGGCCCAAGACCTGGTCCACAGCCCACTTGTTGTACCAGATGAGTGCCGGGTCGGACGCCGCATCCTGAAGGTTCGCCCCTTGTGCGCGCCGAAATTGATGACCTCCGCTGGGCACGGGACCGGGTTGAGCTGGTCGACGCCGTCGAGATCCGGGAACTCCACCAGCTCGATGCTGTGGTGAAGCGGGATGCCGCACAGGAAGGCCAGCTCCGGCCCCGGCTTCGGCTCGGGGTCGCCTTGGGCCAAGTCGACCTTGATGATGCGCTTCTCGGGTGTAGGTGGCGCGGCCGGTGCTGATCCAGTAGCACTCGGCCTCGCAGAACTGGCCGCAGATGCGGCCGCCGGTGTAGGTGCACGTGGTCCATCGCCTCTTGCAGGCAGCCGGCCGAATAGCCGCTGCTTGCCGGAAAGGCGTCGCGCTGCGGGCGCCGCCGTCCGCCTCCGATACGTAGATGGGAGGCGACCCTGGACCATCAGGGCGTCGGCCACCAGGGCAATCCGCCTCGCGAACTCCTTGCGGGACAGGAAGCGGCTCCACTTCGTGCCCATCAGGGCCTTCATGAAGTAGCTCCACAGCTCAAACCCTCTGTCGCGGTGGGCGAGCGTGAAGTGGCGGTCGCACTCCCTGCATGCGATGCACCTGGTGGTCTTGTTGGCGCCGCGGACGACCTTCTCGCAGGCGTCGTCGGCCACGTGCTCGCAGACGTGCTCCATCTCGCCCTTCAGAACCATGACGACCTCGGACGGCTCGCTGTCGCCGTCGTTGCCCCCGTGCTCCTCGAGCGCGAAGTAGTTCTGAGCGGGCTTCTTTGCTGGAGACACTGATGTAGGCTTCCGGCTCGACCGACGGGGGCAAACATCATCGCCCTGCCAATGCCCGAACTGGTGACAGTCGGAGCACTGGGTCCGCTTCTTCAAGTTGGCGATGTGCTGCCGGCGAGCATCTCGCTGTCGGTCGTCGTAGCCAGGGACGGCACTACTCGAACTGCTGCTGCCTCCTCGCCCTGCGGGCGACCTGGTTGTCAATCCCTTGCCGCCTCCCCGGCGGCCTCCCCTTCCACCGGCCTTGCCACGACCGTGGAAGCTCGAAGTCACTCGCCTAGGCGGCTTCTTCTTGTTGAAGATCTTGCTGCGGCTCTGCAGAACGAGGGTGAGGGCCTCTGCCTCCTCGGTGCCAAGCTCGTCGAGGTTCTCCGCGACGTAGTTCTCGATGTCGAACTCGTCGTCCTCGCCGTGCTCGTAGTCGTCCTCCTCGCCCTGGTAGTAGCCGTCCTCGTCCTCGTCCTCGAAATAGATGTGATCGAGCTCTGACGGGTTCTCGTCCTGCTCCGACGCGGCGCAAGCGTAGGCGGATCGCTCTCGGCGATCAGCGCGTCGGTCCTGCTGTCGATGTACCGCTGGGTACTGAGCCCGCAGAGCATACTCGATGCCAGCTAGCTTGTACTCGTTCTTGTTGGAGGCGAGGACTGCGGCTTGCTCCTTCATGCTGATGCCGCAGAATCTGAGGATCAGTGCGGCCTGGATATCTTCTGAGATCGTAGTCGTGGCGCTGACCTCCTGCAACTCTGCGTACTCCTTTCGCCTCCTTGTCACATAAATGGCCATGGACTCGTTGCGGTCGCGCCAGACCGATGATCCGTACAAGGCCTTGTCGAAAATCTCGGTGCTCCGGACGGGCGCAATATCTTGAACTTCTTTCTTCAACGTCGTGAGGAAAAGAGTGAGCCCGTCCGGCCTTGATTCGCCAGACTCGTCAGCAGCTACCAGCTCCTCATGCTTGAGCTTGCGCACTGCCTCGTAGGCTGGACCAGAAAGGCCTGATCGTAAATGCAGCGCCGTCGCGGCCTGCTTAGACCTCTCTCCAGTCCTGCCGTGGTAGAGATCCCAGGCTCGCTCTTCGTATTCATTGAAATACTCTGGCTGGCCTGCATACTGAGGGACTCCATTCCTGTCCAGCTCGATGGACATCTTCTTCGTGAGGATGGGAATGATCAGCAGCAGCAGCGTTGTTGCACAGGGTGGTGCCCTCGGCCGGCTCGGCGGAGGGCTCGTCGTCGTGGGCTGACACGACTGCCGCGGTGGTGACCGCGGCGGCGGAGAGGAGGTGCGGCGACCTCTGGCGGCGGCAGCGGCCGTCGCCTGCCGCGGGGCGCCCGGGCGCGGCGGCCCAGCCCAGCGGCCTATGATGCGCAGGTCCCAGAGCTATCACGCTCCGCTTACCATGAGAGTCCGCCCAGGCGGGCGGGGATCGATGATAAGGATGCTTTAATACCCTTGATCCTAAAAGAGCGCCCTGTGTACGCGTGCGCTGCTGTAACAATCAAGATAAGCACAGATACTACACACACAC